GCCTCCCAAGTAGCTGGGACTACAGGCACCCACCCGCCACAACGCCTGGCCATTTTTTGGTTGCAGCCATTATTGTTGTTTGGTGGGTCCGGGCTGGGGATTCGAACACGCCACCTTAGGTGTATGTGGCTGGCGCCTTAGCCACTTGAGCCACAGGCACCGAGCCGGTTTATTTGGTTTATAAGGCAGAGAAACTGCCTTAGTTTCTCAAAGGATAGTTTTGCTGGATGTGGACATCTTGGTTGGTGGTCTTTCTCATTTGACACTTTTGATATATCATCTCACTGCTTTCAGGTTTTCATTATTTCTTATGAGAAGTTAGCTCTTAGTTTTATGGAGGGTCCTTTGCTTCTTTATATTGTTCCTCTCAAGATCTTATTGTTTTTCAACAATTTGACTGTGATGTGTCTAATGAATCTCTTTGAGTTTATCCTAATTGGAGTTCATTCTACTCAGATATGAAAATTAATGTTTTCTTTTTTTTTTTTTTCTCTGTGAAAAGAGCCCACTTTATTGGGAAGCAGAGTGCTGCACACTGACCAGCAGATGAAGGCCACCCAAGGGGCAGCTTACATACCATATTCCGAAAGATACAGAGGATGTTTGCTAATATCAGTCAACTGGAACATGGACGACTCTGGGCAGCTTCTCCAACCTCATCTCTCTGGGGTCAGGTAAACTCTCATTTTCCTGAACTGTGGTTCACTAGAGATAAAGCCCCTCAGGGGTGCCTTCTTGTTTTTTAAACAGAACATTTTCTTAAGATTTTTTGAAGTTTTCATTTGTTACTTTCATTCTACGTTCTCTTAAGGCCATCAGACCAGCTTCTGTACAAATTGCCTTAATGTCAGCACCAGAGAGGTCATCTTTAGCCATGATCAAGTCATCCAACGTTACATCATCAGCCAGGGTCATCCTGCTTGTGTGAATCTGAAAGATGCGCTTCTTAGTCTTTTCATCAGGCAGGGGAAACTCTATCTTCCTGTCAATGTGTCCTGGTCTGATAAGAACTGGATCCAAAAGTTTCTACTTGGTTTGTAGCCATAATAACTTTCACATCTCCCCTTGAATCAAATCCCTCCAACTGGTTCAACAGTTCCAACATTGTCCGCTGAATTTCTCTCTCACCACCAGAATTTAAGTCTTATCTTTTTGTCCCAGTGGCATCAATTTCATCAATAAACACAATGGAAGGTGAATGTTCTTCAGCAACTCAAAACAATTCCTGAACAAGTTTGGGTCCATCACCTAGGTACTTCTGAATGAGTTCAGAGCCAACTACTCTCAAGAAAGTGGCTGAGGTTTGGTTTGCTACTGCTTTGGCTAATAAGGTTTTACTTATGCCAGGCAGACCATAGAGAATGACCCCTTTAGGGGCTTTATACCCATCTCTTCATAATATTCAGGATGGGTGAAAGGAAGCTCCAGAGATTCCTTAATTTTCTGGATTTGGTTGTCTAAGCCCCCAATATCAGCATAGGTTTCCTGGGATGCCTTTTCTACCTTCATCACTGTGACCAGGGGATCTGTGCCATCCATCAGCACCCCTATCACGGCATGCACCTTGTGTTTGAGCAGGACCAAACAGCCTGGTTCCAGCAGATCCTTGTCTACAAATGAAAGGATGCTGACATAGTGTTCTGAGCCCACAGATGTGGACACGATGGCATGATTGTCATCAATGATCTCTTCCAAGGTTCCTACTGACATTGGGGTTCCTCTCAGATCATCCACTTTTGATCTTTCCTCCTCTTGCTTTTCCTCTAAAGGTTTCATTTGTTCCTGATTTCTAATGACTTCTTCCTCCATGAGAAGATAGTCTTTAATTCTAACTTCAACAATTTTAATCAGCACTGAGTGTGAGGTGTCACTACTGGTAGTTTACTGGCTGCATCTGGTCCCTGTTTTCTTCTTCTTTTTCCCCACTCTGGTTGGTACAGGAGGTTCATGTTTCTTTTTCTTATCCTTGTCATCCTTCTTGCCACCTCCAGGACTATGGCCACCACTCTGACTTTGACCCATCTTGCCTCAGCTGCTCGCTCTGCCGAAAAATTAATGTTTTCATAAAATTTGGGAAATTTTTGTCCACTAATTATTCAAATAGTTTCTATTCCTTTCTCTCCTTTTGTTCCGAGATTTTCGATTATGGTTTGTATGCTTGGTGTTTTGGTATGCTTCATAGTGTCTCACAGGTCTCTGAAGCTCTCTTCATTTTTCTTTCATTTTTCTGTTTCTAACTGGGTCATCTCAATAATTCTGTTTTCAAATTCACTAATTCTTTCTTCTGTTGATTAAAATGTGCTGTTAGGCCCCCTAATGAATTTTTGTTTATGTTGTTTTTCAATTCTAGAATTTCTATCTGGTTCTTTTTTTATAACATCTAACTCCTTAATGATAGTCTTTGTTTAATGA